ATCACTCTCTAATAAGGCGCTCAATCTTGGTGGTACATTCTACCTTCCATATAGACACCACTATTCTGTAGAACAATTATTGGAGGCATATCCTTCCTTTACTGAGTTTGTCGGTTTCAAAAAGTACCTAGATCCAAACAGAGTCTTTAATAATATGTGGTTTGATAACTATTCAAAGCTTGTGGAAAATAAGTTTGGAACCATTAGCCCAAAGCCAATTTCTATTTCTCCATTTGTTAGTTTATTCCCAAACAACAACACTTTCATCAATAACAAGAATTATCATTTTATGACTAGTTTGGGTAAACAAGTTAACCAGAGTAGAGTTTTTGATTTTTTGAGATATGTCTTTCCAGTAGTTGATGCTAAAGAATTCCAAAGATTTCTTTTGATAAATAAGCAGCTAGACGACAAGCAACTTTACAACTTAATTCAATCAAATTACCTTAATTCAAACATTTCAAAAGCGAAGATATTATTTAATCTTGTAAGATATAACACGTTCATACTTGCTAAAGAAATTGAAAGGCAAATATCTGAATTACTTGAAAGCAATATCCTTCACAATAGAAAGTTTGATGGCCAGTTGACCATTGGAGATTGTGGAAGATTTACAAATTTATTGAAGAAGAAATTCAAAGTTAGTGGCTCATCCTTTGTAGTCAATGATAAAGAAAGAGCAACCGATGTATTAGAGAGGAAATCTTTAACACCAGTCGGTAAATTTGTACCATATGATCAATTACACGATATTCCTTCTAATAGTGTAGATTTAATAACTTGTTTCATAGGATTGCATCACTACACTGACACAGAACTAAACTTGTACATGAAAGAACTCAAAAGAATTCTTAGACCTAATGGAATATTTATTTTGAGAGAGCACGATGTGGACAACGAACACATGGAATCTATGGTTCATGTAGCTCACAATATTTTCAATGCCCTGACAGGTTTGACATTTGAGGATAATGAGAAGGAATTCAGACACTTCAGATCTATGAAAGAATGGAATAGCATTTGCAAATCATTTGGATTTTACAACTTGGAAAATTATCAACTTCAACATGGCGACTCCACAATAGATTTAATGACTGCCTACGTTAATGAAAAAGATGGTGATCATGCATCCACAAATGTCACCAATCCTATTGATAGTTCTATTGGAAATTTGATGAATATTACAGATAAGGATTACAAAAGAGATCAAAACAAGACAGATTTTACCATACCAGAGTGGTTCACAGTTGAAATTGTTCAACACATGGGACGCTTCTTGCAACATACTCCTTGGTATGATTATCCATATAATCATACTATTTCCAAATTCTGGAAACTCTTCTTCAACTCTTGTACAAGAGTAATGAAGAGGGATGGATTGAAACAAGTCTTTGCAGGATACTTCTTTATGAATCTGACTATTGGAGCTATTTCATCCATACTCCTTGCACAAATGGGTATTTTGGCAATGCTTCCTCGTTTTGGATCAAAATTCTTCAATAATACAACTGCCAATATTACAACTATTCAGGCAATTATTTCTGCTAAGGAAGATATAAGATCCACCCTTGAAAAATGTGACATTCACATCATTAATGAAACTATGAATGACAAGAGAGAATATCTTTATCATGTCAAATTACCAAGATTCCTCCCATTCACACAATCACTTCAACACCTCGCAAAACAAACTCCATATGCACAACTAGAGGAAATTGCTGGCAATCAAATGGTCAATGTTAAAATCACTATCAGAAATCCAAACATTATCAAATTCAGCTCCCTTGTCAAGTGCCAAGAAATTGAAAATTATCAAGTTGTACCAAATAATGAGCATCACAACGAGACTGTCATTATCTATTCTGTCTCTGTAAAAAATCTAATTCAATTTTTGAGAGAAGCAATGAATCAGACTGGACTAGAACAAATCCAGATTCATGATTTTTAAATTTGTAGTGGAAACGTTTATTAATTAATAAAATTGGCTTACAAGCAATCTATTAAGGATTTAATATTAGAAATATTAGGGCAGTCAACAACAAAATTTGGAACAGAAATTTATTTCCATTATTCGACATAATAGTTCAAAAAGATTGGTTAGCTGATGAGAACTTTGTTGAGAAATTACCAATAATTGATTTTGAAAAGTTGCCAGACAATATTAGATAGATATACAAACCAAACATATTTTTGAAAGCACTGAAAAATCCAATGTTGAAATACGAAACAATTCTAAAGGATGTTCAAAATTTGAATCAAGATCCAAAGAAAAATAAGAAATTGATCCAAGCTCTAATCGAACGCTTTCCAAAATCATTGCAGATCTTTAAAGATCCACTTGATTTAAATACAAATCTCATAATGAAGGTCCTAGCACGTGATGGTACTGCTATTCGATTCCTACCAGAAAGTTGGAGAAATGATCAAATAGTGTTACAGGCAGTTAAGAGTATTCCAAATGCTCTTGAATTTGCATCTGACGAATTGAAAAACAAATTTAAAATTGTTAAGGCGGCTTGTAGACTCAAGCAAATTCCTCCGTCGTGGAATTGTCAAATTTACAGATGAATCATTGAAGAAGGATAAGGATTTTATCATTCAATTATGGAGCTTCCTTGATCCACCTCTCGATTTTATGAAAGAGTTTCCACTAACGATGGAGGATTATATTGAAAGTGTGAAATTGAAAAATGGTCCCTTTTCGAATTTGAGTGAGGAACTGAGATGCAACAGGGAATTTGTCAAGAAAATTGTTACAATTATTCATCCTTACAGATTTTGGACGTTACTGCCACTGTCTATTCAATCAGATAAGGAAATAGTTCTACTAGCCATTCAGCATGGTCTGAGCCCATTTTTCTTGCATAAAGAAATGAAGGATGATCCATACGTTTCCAAAATATTAGTGGAAAAGTATCTAAATGCATCAGATATTGAATTGATATATGATAAATTTCATCGAAGCTTGTTTGAATAATAATATAATAAATTGCAGTGTTTTTAAGCCCATCTTAATAAAACCTCTGCTGCTTTCTTTGTTTCTGGATTCTTTATCTTGCTGAATAGGGATCGAGCTTTTTCTAAATCTTTTGGAACTCCTTCCCCACCGTTCAAATAAATAGCTCCAAGATTAAAAAGGGAATTATCATTACCTTGATCGGCTGCTTTTTGTAACCAATAAATAGCTTTGGCTTTGTCTTCTTTAACTCCTGTTCCCATATTGTACATGGCCCCCAGGTTATTCTGTGCTGATACATCACCTTTGTTAGCCAGTTGCTCGAGCCAGTTCACATCTGTTGAATAATCCTTCTTGCTTATCTCATGTAGAGCTGCAATAGAACCTTGAAAACCTTGACTGGCAGCTTTTTCTAACCATTGAATTCCAATTTGATAATCCTGTTTAACCCCAATTCCATTAAAGTACATTATTCCAACATTGTGTTGTGAGTGAACATATCCTCCTTCTGCTGATTTCAAGTACCAATCAAAGGCAGTAAATGGGTTCTTCTCTACTGCATCCCCTCTTGCATAAAAACCACCCAAGTTATATTGAGCTTTTGCATATCCATTATCAGACGCTTTTTTGAACCAATACAATGCCTTTGACTTGTCACCAATCGCAAGATATTGGACCCCAAGATTATTCTGTGCTTTTACGTGGTTTTGATTGGCTGATTTTTCAAAAAACTGCAGTGCTATTTCAATATTTTTAGGCACACCCAAACCTTCCTGGTACAAGTAACCCAAATTAAATTGAGCTTCTGAATTATTTTGTTCAGCCGATTTCTCATACCAATAGACAGCTTTCTTATAATCAATGTCAACTCCAGTTCCATTTTGATAAGCAGCTCCAAGATTATTCTGTGCTATGGAATCTCCTGTATCAGCTTGTAGTTGAAGTAATTCAAGAGATGATTTGTTGGGTGATGATTTGAAAAAATTCATAAAGCCTAATCCCTTTGATGAAGCATGAAACGATCTAATGTTTAAATTAGTATTAATATTATTATTGATTACAGCAAATGGTAATGAACATTCCGAGAATTTTGTCATCAAAGGCTTTGGTAAAAACTTTGAATTCAACAAGAAGGCTGTCTTTTTGATTGCTCTCATTTTTTAACAATATTAATTTATTAAATTGATTGAAAAATTAAAAAAATTATAAAGCTTGCGCGCTTATTTTACTGAACGGATTTTTGAAAATTAAAATCGAATAGTTTGGCGCCAAATGATTACAGCACTAAAAAACGTTACCATCATCTTTAAAAAAAATACCTCAACACACTATCTTCTCAACCCAACGACACCAATACAATGAATACATCACTCCATACACCAAAGAAGAATAGTCAGTTCTCTGTTGGCTCTCCTCCTCAACCAAATTCTATTCAACAATCATCAATTGCCTCTGTCGGATCACCTTCAACTTCTGCTTCTCTATTGACTGGCATTGATTTTAAGGCTATTGAGGATATGGATCCATCGTTAGCAGAAGGACATAGAACAATCTTTGATAAGGAAATACCAATTGAATTACGTACTCAAGATCAAAATGAGTCTGACAATGATCTAGGAACCCTTGAAGCTATCAGAGTTAAAATCCTCATCTTGGAAGGAGAACACGAAGACGAGGCTCATGTAAAGTTGGAACTTACTTCCGAGTCTGATCTTTTCTTCCATTATTCTCACACTGTTGGAAGACAACAATTTATTGGCCTGCAACAATCCCAAAAGTTGATGGTTGATTTCCCAAATTATCCAAAAATGTTGAGCAAGATGTTGAATGCTTGTGTCAAGGAACCAGAAAGTTTCTTATGTATCTTGATTATGGAAAGAGATGGAAAAGGATTGCTTAATTTTGTTCAAAATATGGAATACAAGGTAAGTGTTTGAGAATCATTGAAAATTTAACAATGTCAGTTTGTGGAATTACTGAGTTTGGAATTGAGTGAAAGTCCAGAACATGTTATTCGTCAACATATTTCATTCAGATATAACAGTATGAGGTCAAGAGTTGCTATCCTCAACGCTAGATTGCAAGAAGTTTCCAACATTATTAAGATTAAGAACCCATCCCTGTTGTTGCACTTAAGTCGTGCTGTAACAGGAGCCCAAACAAGTCTTTCTGCTCCATCATCCTCCTATTTAAATACTCAACAACCTGTACAAAAGAAGAAATAAACTAGGGACAATCTTTTTATTCGATATTTTCCACAAGAGCCATCAATTGTTCACTTGATGAAGGTCTAGCAGCTGGATCCAATTGTAAAGTCATTTGAACAAAGTCCAACAATTCTTCACTGTAAATATCCTTCAACTCATTACAAATATCACTGACAAAGTTTGGATTCTTGGATAATTCCTCTTTAACATCGGTCATTCTCTGTGAAAGAATTTCTAAAATGATAACACCTAGGGACCAAATATCACTCGATGCTGAATAGTCCTGTCCTTTAGCTTGCTCTGGAGACATGTAGCACTCTGTTCCAACTTTGGCATTTTCCACAGATTTTACAAAACAACTCAATCCAAAATCTCCAATTCTCAACTCATCTCTCTCATTATCATTGAAGAAAATATTCTCTGGTTTCAAATCTCTGTGAAGATAACCTTTCGTATGAATAAAAACTAGAGCAGCAGTCAATTTTCTCAACCAATTCACTACCAGTGTTTGACTGACAAGTGAGGATGCACCATTCTTCTTCTTGAACCTATCCAAGTACATTCTCAAGTCTCCTCCCTTGCAAAACTCCAAAATAATACAGAGAACATATTCTTGTTTTCCTGCATCACTTTCACTAGCTCCTACTCCAATAGTATCGGCAATAATTGTCGATTCCTTTTGTTCAACGAAAAAGTCATGAATTGAATTGATATACTCGTGTCTCAATGAATAGAGAGATTTGATTTCATTAAAGTTCTGATTCAATTCTTGTATGGTTCTCAGCTTGATTCTCTTCATGACATAGAACTTCTTTTCAGTAGAATCCTTCTCAGAAACTATATAGGCAGCACCCTGAGCTCCAAGTCCAATACGTTTCTTGATAGCATACTTTTCACTATAGTCAGTTCCCTTACTTTCAATTGCTGTTTCAAGAGTTGATTTGATTGCTTCCTCTTCTTCGGGTGTCAGTTTGGGATTGGTAATGAGTTTCTGTGGACGCTTTGGTGGTCCAGTTGGTACATTTTCCGTTACACTGTCAAATAAGTGTTGCTTTGGTACAAGTGAAGTGGTTTGAATTTGTGAGGAAGGTCTCTTTAAAATATTCGAAATGAAATTGGAGAAACCTCTCTTCTTGACAGTTGGTTTTGGAATACTGGCGCTCTTCTTTCCTGAATCCTTCATTATTCCTGAAATACTCAACACATCTGAAACTCCATTATCACTACAATTCATCATTAATAAATATTTTGAAAATATTGTAATAATACTTACTTGAGAAGAATCTTTAAATTATCATTCTTTAGTGAAGGTGGATTTGAGTCTGACTGTCTCAATATAGAATCTAAACCCTCCTCAAACAAATATTTGACAAATGACTTGTCAATTGCAGACATTTCATACATGTGAATTGACTTTTTAGACTTCAATTCCGTTCTAATAATGTTATAGAACAATCTTCCAATATATTTCCTACTATTATCGAAAACATTTTGTGGTTCTGTTGATAAATTAATTCCTCCTGTCGATGCGGTTATTGTGGTGAATGCAGAAACATGGAAACCTTGCTTCTCAAAATCTGGAAATATCACAGAGATTGACTTGTCCTTTTCCTCAATCTTTTCCTTAAAAACATCCATCTTGTTGAGTACAATTACAAATTCAGATTCCAAATTTCTCATATTCATCTCTTGACAAACAGATTTTAACACTTCAATGGATTCTTGAAGTTTGTTCTTATTTTTCTGATCACACGAATTGACATCAAAATCAGCCACTGAAACCACATAAACAATCACATCAGGTTTGGCTTCCAATAGAAGGGCCCACTTTTTTCTTTCACATCTCTCACCACCAGTATCGTAGACTTTCACAACAGTGGATTTACTAATTTTCACATCCACTGAATTGATACCAGTTGTTTGCACTCTCATTTTAAAATAATCATCTTCAGTTGCTATTATTATTGCATTCGAATCACATTATTCTAAACGTGGAAATTACTTACGTTTATAATCTTCCTTGAAAATTCTATTGATATTCTTCATGAAATAGACAATATTTTCACTAATATGAAAATTAAAATCCGTAGCATTCATAAATAAATATCTCACAGCATTATTCCTCCAAATTGCCTTGATATCCGATTTCAATTCTTTCAAACCTCCTTCATAATCAATATGCCAACTTCTCTCATTCATCGTCTTGGTCGAAATAAACTTGATCCTATTCACAATCTTTTCCTCTGCCTTGTTCCATTCGAATTGGAAAGAAGAAATGAGTGAATTTCTTCTCCTATTTTCATTACTCATATTCATATTCACATCAAATTGTTGTTGTTGATTGATTTCATCATTGGCAAATGTTGTCCTTCCTCTATTGAATAGTGATGGTTTTTGAGAATCGTTACTTGTTGTTTTTGAAGTTAATGGACTTGATTGACCTAAAGAGGAAGGAGACAAACCTGATGAAGATGTAGAAGCACTTGATGTTTCTAATAGTTTAGAATGTCTCATTGCAGTGCTAACAGCACTAATTCCCAACAAGGAATCATCACCAAGAGCATTTTCATCAAAACTATTCGAAAGTATAGAACGATCACTAAATTGTGAAGGATTGCTCTTTACAAGATTTATCAATTCATCAGAAAGTCTTCTATCATGTCTCGTACTCGCCTTTCTCTCTAAATTCGGCATTGATGTATTCGAAACCGCCTCTCTACTAGCACTTGTAATTGCGTTGCTGCTGCCATTATTATCAGAAAGTAAACTATTGTTTGCCACAAATTGTTCCATAAATTTTATGGCCCTCTTGATGTGATGAACAATTTCATACTGAAGTGAAGTTTTAATTAAAATTCGATTTTCTTGCGTTGAATGAAAATTACAAAATTGAGCATTTCCATATAACGATCGACAACTTTTGAAAATTGTGCTTTTACCACTTTCGGAAGTACCTAATAGTGCAACTACTGGGATGGTGTGGATGGTTGTTGTTGATGAGGGAAATGGAAATGGTGGAGATGAAGTTGTTGGTGATGGTGGAACCATTTTTTTGATTTTAAAATTGGCAGATGACACTTGACTGGTTTTTAATAGAATGGCATTGCGACTTGAGCGTCAGATGGAAGAGAATTTTCAGTGCAACACTCGGCAACGAATAAAAATTCATTGAATATTTTGGTTTTTGTCTATGATTTCAAGTTCACAAGTAAAATGCTTCTCAAAATTTCGAGATTATTCGAAATTGAGCTTGTTATTTTGTAAAATAAGAAATGAATTGTACAATCCAAGGGTACAACAAGCCAAAAGGTTGGCATTTGGTCATGCATTAAAATCTTTCCATTTATCTATAAATGGGAATTAACAACTTGTCGACTTTTACCACCTCAACAGCACCAATGATTTAGAACTAACAATTATGAGATTTCAGGTGAGAGTTCTGCAAATAGTGGTACATGCCACACCAACAGATCGTTACGTAGACCTCTCTGAAAAACATGCAAACATTATGACAATTACAAAAGCTGGAACACATGGCCTTAGTGTAAAAGCGGGTGTTTGAATCAGCTTTCCTCAGTTACTATTAGTATTATCACTCTTTCAATGCGTATGTTAGATAGGTGATTGATAGAAATAAACTTGTAATATTGTTGAAAGTTTTTTTTTGATTAGTTAGTTCACATACTAATTCGCCGTGGACGAAAGTTTGGTTTAAAATGGCTTGAAACTAAAGGCTTGTAAAAGTGAACAGAGGAAAGATAACAAATGTAAATTATTAGAATTAGTTTTTAATCAATTAGTTTACTTTACATTAGTTAAAAATTAGTCAAAATTGCTTAGAATACAATTTGTTGTTTAGTGAAAGCAGCACTCTTTCTATTATTCACCTTATTTTTAAATCCTTCATTATCTGATCTCCTAATAATTCTTGCTGAGTTTCTTGGATTGACATGTGAAGTTTGTGAGAGAGCTCCCAAACTAGTCTTACTATTAACATCAACATATTCAGGTGTATGTTTCAGAGAAGATGTCATCGTTCTAGGAGAAGTATCAATCATCATATCTGTATCACTATTTGATGATCGTGGAGAGTCAGTTTGTTGATCAGTTGATGTTGAATTATTGGTCGGTGTCTTTTTTCTTTTCTTGACCAGGAAGGAGAAGAGTTTAAAATTTGACATTTTGCTACTAGAAGTTGTGTTGTTAGGTGGTGTGTTGCTCATTGCTAAAAACGCGAAAGGTTCTGTTAAAATTTGATAGTGGTTGGGATGAAAAGCTTTTTGCTTTTTTTTTAATCAAATGTAATTGTAAACTTACTACAAAAGACGCAAAGGACCATTTAACTTAAGATCAATGAAGAAGTGATTCGGTTAACAGTTGACAACATGAAGTTTGATTGGCTAATTTGTGGGCTTATAGTGTGAGGTACCAAAAACGAAACCTAAGCAAAAGCAGAAGTTAATATCAGAAACTTTCTCTTCACCAAAGGTAATTGACTTGTGTGTTTAATTCTTTGTTGCATCAACTGTTGCATGTTGTGAAATATCTTCATGTCAGTGAAGTAAATTAATGGTACAGAAATGGTAATTGTCTTCTTTTCAATAGTTAAATGTCATATTAGTGGAGTAATTCTCGGAGACCATTGTAGAGATTGAGGAAGATTCATATTATTGTAAACAACGTTTAAATCTTGGGGTCACTGTGTGGCTGAAGAGGTTACAAATAAGCTCATACATTATATTAAATGAAGATGATTCGAATTGAGCTCTTGAATGGGTTGTCTATTAAGAATTGTTACAATTTAATTACACGTATTGCATAATCTGGCCGAATAGACATGCTTTCAATTCTTGATTATCTAAATAAGTTTCTGGATACAATGCTCATTCTTAAGAAATTATACATTCCTTGCTCTTTCTTTGTTTTTTGTTCGCTACTGTTGTTGGGGTTTCTGTCTTGTTATTTTGTTTGTTGATTTGTTTGGATGGATCAATTGTAAGGGAAATAACATTTTGAGAGCAGTGTTCATAAATCTTTGCAATATATTCCAGCAATAGATTTCTAACAGATTCAATATTATTAGTAGCCTCTAGGAAGGTAAAAGCACCCATTGATTTGCTTATTTGTGTAATATTTTCATCTGTGAAAAGTTCAATTAAGCCTGAGGACAGATTTTTGGTCCATATTGCTTTCTGGTGTGGAATTCTATTAATTGTTAAAAGTAATACTCTCGGAATGGAGCTGCTCAATTTATCTATTTCATCATAATCAATTGGATACCCACGAAAAGGAATGATAACTAGATGGCTTTCTTCATGAAATTTCTTGTTAAAATCGTTTTCAAAGTAAATACTTAGATTGTCATTAACATGGAATGTTGCATTTGGTTCAATAAGTAGTGCTTCCACATCAACTTGCTTACGAAAGAGTAACAAATCAGTACCAAAATTTCTAAATGAAAAGGAAACTTTGATGTTGTGAGGAGTGGATTTGAATTTATTAGAAAGTTGAGAAATCTTTCTTCTATCCAAAAATTCTACATCACAGTTTCCGAGTAATGACAATGTATTTAATTGCAAAACCTCAGATAATACTTGTCGGATTTGATCTATTAAGGCCAGTAATAACTGTCTTCTGTTGTTCCAAACCTGTCCCTTTTCAACTTGTTCTATTTTACTATCCAAGTTTTGCAATTTTAGCGACTCGTGTTGATATAGAGCTGACTGCTTTAATTTTCCAATTTTTGTATTCCAATAATTATCCAAATGGCAAACTGCAGATGAACATTTTGAATTTACCAACATTAAAGATGAAAGGTCCCGAAAGGATGTCAAATATTCAGCCACATTGGTCCAGCAGTCTCCAATATCCATGAGTTGTTGCATTTTTTTGTAAATTTAACGGCAAGTTCATCAGCTATTAATAATAATAAATTAGTTTACCAACTTGAACAAGTTAAAATATCTACAATCTCAGTGGGTCATGTCTTCCACTTCTTGTAAACCAAGATCAGCCATATTTACATGAATATTTACATTGTTCGCAATTGAGGATTTTACAATATTGATAATTGCTTTGGATTCACCAATCTTGTAGATTTTGAGTCTATGATTCACAAAGTGGTACCAATTAATACCAAGTTGAGCTTCATCTGAGGATGAAAGGGAATTTGTTACAAGTACACCCACCTTGAACTTTTCGTTCAATTGTTTAAGGAGTGTAGCCTCTGTTTGGAGAATACTGGCTCTTTCAAAAGCTCCACCTTCTTTCCCTTGAAATTCCTTTGTTGATAATGTTGCCAGTGAATCAATAACAATTAATTTAATATTCTTCTCGAAAATGAATTCTTCCAAATTGTCTAAACTGTCTATCAACTCTTTGGAGCTGGCAACATGAATTATTGTACACTTCTTCAGAATTCTTTCTTCAATTTCTGATTCGCTCATATCAGGATTTCTGTTCTTCATCATGAAATATATTCTTTGGAAAATATTTGCTTGTTTAACTTCAGTGTCGAAAATAACACAACCAAACTTATCAAACTCCATCAATAAATCACTAACAGCGGAAAGACAAAATTCTGATTTACCTGATGTTGTTGCTCCAACAATTTCAGTGATCATATTCAACGGAATGCCTCCATGAAATAATGTATTAAAGGATGGAATATATTTCAATGGTAAAAACATTTGCTTATTTTGCTTTTCATTGTATAGTTGTAGACCAGTCCTTGGATTATTTAAATAATTTTGTGATATTATATTAGTTTTGAAAATCACATTCCGAACATAATTAGAGGCTTCCTCAAGTGTGCTCGTATCCAAAATGTATCGTAACTTGGAGTTTGGAACACAGAGTAATTGTTGTGTTGTGTTGATATTGTTCTGTGAGAGTGATGAAAGTTGTGTTGATGAAAAAAGCTTCAGATCAGAGAGACGAGCGTTTAAAGCCATTTTTTTGTTTTTAAATTTTTTATTGGCGGTTTCCACCTTTTACTTGATTTTTTACAAGCTTGAACATCTATCTCTCAAAAATTGTAAATTAATAAACTATTTATTACTATTGAATGGAGCAATTTTTTCCATTCTTACCATACGAACTAGACAAAAAGTAGAAGAAAATTAGATTTGGGCATGATTTGAAGCTAATTGGCTGGGGATCATTTTCTGCTACGTCACTCACAACGAATTCTCTCAATTTTGGTGCTTCTATTTGTTTTGCAGAGAGGTTCAACTCTTTGATGCAGTAAATGTTCACCAATTTGATATTATTCCACATATAACCTGCTTTTGAGTTTAGAGTCAAACTGGTTTTCGGTCCAAATACTACTAACTCTTCTAAGGATGGCAGTAAACTCAATTCAATTGTGCAAACTCCACAACTCTCAAGAAGAATATTTTTGAGATATTTGAATTCAGTCTTATTCAAGTCGGTAAATCCTCGTAGAGATAAAGATGTCAAGTTGGATAATTTTTGAATTTCTTTAAAAGTTATCCAGTAATCTCTGCTTCCTTGTTTTGATAGCTTGAAATGAGTTATGGAATCCATATTTTGTGGTGGTTTGACTACTGTACAATTTGTATCTATGGAAAGTTCTTTAAGTGGAATATCTGGAACCTTACATACGTCTCCATGGTAAATAGACTGATTCAAAAGCAATGTATCTTTTTTAGAGATGTGCTCCTGAATAAAGTTTTCATAAACCGAGGAGCAGAAAAAGTTAGTAAATCCACTTGCATGAGAGTCACTTTGAATTACTAGCTTGTCAATATTTTGAATACTATTGAACATTGCTTCATGGTGAGTAGAGGAAGTTCTGTAATTCATCCAATCTATCTGCTTGATTACTACATTTGGACCATCCGTATATGTTCCATACATGCTGGTTGAAGCATTTGTAAATGATCTAACTCTATTAATGTTGATTGTGTGAGAAGGACCATATATCATATATAAGCTCTCGCACTCATCAATTGTTACATTACAATGTGCCACCTGGTCAAATTTGAAATAGGAGAGGCAATTGTTTGGTAAGTACACATTAGCTTCTTGTAGCTTTGTAATTTTAAAAAGTTTCAATTCTGGACAATCAGAAACATCCACCTTGTTGATATCAGAAAGGTACAATTGTCTCAAGTGTTTCATATTATTAAATGCCAAGCTAATACTCCACACAGGTGGGTAATTCGTAAGGCAAGGATTGAGGGAATACGTAAATTGTGATAAGAGTGGAAATTTATCAAGGGTAAAGCTGCTGTCAATGATCACAGTGTCCATTAAGAGGTATCTTAACCTTGCTAATTTGGTACTTGAGTGGAGTATGAGTTTACAACCTGATATACAAAGATTTTTCAATTTTGGTGCATAAAAGTCCTGGCTGAAACTCACAACCCTATCAGTATGAGTGGTCCGTACTGTTAAATCAATCAGCTCATTGAAATTCCCTGATAGTTCCATTTTTTCAATACTCTTTGATCCGTTAATGTATAATTGCCTGAGATTAGAGAAAGAGGATAGAAGCAGCATGGCTTCAATAAATTTTCCATCTTGGATTGGGGTACCAAGACTATAGTCATTAGAAACTCTCAAAAATGTAAATACGGATTTTTTCTTTTCTGATAAGGAGTTGTTCAAATATTCAAAATCTGCAAATCCAATATTAGAAGTCATTTCAATCTTTTCCAAATATTCTTCCAATAAATATTGAGGATTAGTTATCAATTCTATAGCTTCTCTCTTTTTCCTTGCTGCATAAAACCTAATAGTTTTCAATTTCAACTCTAAATGTTTTGCATTAGTGACAAAAAAGTAAAGTGTTTTGTAATCACCAACAGTTAAATGTTGCAAATTATTCCACAAGAATTGGTTAGGTTGAAATATAGCCAAATTGTTGCTATATGAAATATTCAAGTATAATTCCTCAATATTTGGTAAAAGCTTCATGACAAACATTGTATAATCCATATTCTTATATTTGGATTGTATCAGACGGCTAAGTGAAACTTTCTTAATCAAAGTTAAATCACAAATCGATTGTAGAGCTGTTTTAAACAATTCATAAATAGAATCCGTTGAATCAATCAAATTATCATCACTCACTCCATTTTCAACCAATTTTCCAACAAACTTTAAAAACTTGCATGACAACACATCCGGGAAAGGTATAATCGAATGATCCCAAATCAACGCATTATCATGAAGTTTCCAGAATAGGTCCCTACACGAATGTTTCAATGGAAATATCGATGATCCAATAACATCCATCGTTACAAATTTCTGAGTAATATTCTTCATCGGATCGGAAGAATCAGCAGCAGATGATGATTCATTACCTTGATCCATAGCAGAAGAAGATCCAGTCACTGACGCCGATTCATAATAGCTGTAGGAACCTAATAGAAAGGAATAAACAATTGCCAGACAATCGGGTGTGAGCTCTGATAGAAGCATTTTTTTTGATTATTTTTATTATTTATTTTTATTATAAATATTAAATAGTAATACCTCAATTACAATAAAAACTCTCCTTAATCAATCGAATTAATACACTTTTTTAACTTCTCCCTTTTTGAGATGTTTGACATTTTGACAGCAAAAATTACGTAACTCTCCAAGGATTGATCGTAAATTTCAATAATAAAAAAAAAGAAATGACAACCACCTCAACAAACCTCAAACCACCTGACTACGTCTCAATGATTAAATATCTTCAAGAGGAGGAAAAAAGAATCGAACAATTGATGAATCAATGTGTTGATTGTTATCCGAAACCTCATCCACCACTTTTAAAGAAGAAATCATCGAAACAAATTATTGAGGAAAATACAATTCTTTCTGCTAGATCGGATGCCAGTCATTTCTCTGATGTTTCTAATATTGAAAATGAGGAGGAAATTGGAGATTTTGATGTTCCGATACAATATTCGAAACCTAGTGAATCTCTTGAAAATTGTTATAATCCCTTTGAGTATAGAAAGTACAAAATGCAATTGGAAAAGATAAGAACATCTAAAAAGAGATTTACAAAAGCAGCAAGTAAACTAAACGTGCCTAATACAATTATCAGAAATAGACGAAATCAAAAGATTCTATCCATTGAGGAATTTGATCCGAACAAATATTTGGAACGAATTACATCTGAAAATGTTATTGATCATTTTGCTGATTTTCAAAAATACAGAGAAGCTCAAAAGAGTAGATGGTCAAATTTCGTCCAAGAAATGGATACGAAATCGAAACGAAAGTCTGCCCTTACTCAAGAAAATTCCAAAGAAAATATACCTCCCCAAATAATTATTCAAAATCATGATTCCCATTCTGTTAAAATCCCACTTCTCAAACTCCCAGAAACTCGAAACCAAGAAGAAAGGCCAGCAAAACCAAATACGAAATCCAAAAACTCAAACTTTCAATATTATTCCCAATTTAAGGAAGCTCTCCAACCACACTACACTGGTCTACAACCTAAGAACCAAGAATTCATTTCCAAACACAAAAAAGAAGCAATTCTCAGATGGACCGATGTTGATGAATTCTTAAATAAGGACGATTTTTCAATTTTGAAAGAAAAATGCGAACTCAATCTTTCTCAAATGAAAGTTCCCTCTCCAAATAATTCCTCCCACCTGAAAGTAAAGCAACACTTCTCTGAAATGAAGAGAAATAAGAGTGAAACTGCAATGCTGGCTCCAGAAAGTCAAAATTTACTTCCACTATTGGAAGCTAAATTGGATGTGAATAAGGAAATTGTGAATAATAGAGTGGTTGACCAGAGTAATGTTAATAGACATGCTGTGGTGACTCCACCTCCTCATCAATTGCTTAAAATTTCAAAATCGACTGGTTCGATTCCTTACAGAAATTTCAATAAACTGTTGTAAATATGAATATTCAGAGTATTTAGATTTTATATTGTAAAGTTTTACAAAACATCTTAATATGGGTTTGGAAGTTGGTTAAACTCACTTCGTTCTTATTACAAATATATTAAAAAAATGGACGAAACTGATCTCTCACACTTGCCACAGGAAATAATTTTCTGTGAGATTATGTCTTTCTTTGATTATTATTGGGTTTTAAACACTGCTCGATTTGTTTGTAAAGAGTGGAATCAACACCATAAATCGTTCCGAACAAGCTACTTTCGAATGCGTTATAAAGATGATCTTGACAGATTGGAAAACTTGATTGACCATCATTTAGATGATTTACATCACGTGACGAAATTATATCTTTCTCCAGCACTGTCGAGTTATTCCCACATTGCTGAATTGGAAAAGAAAGTTTTTTCACAAATGTCAAATTTGAAAGAATTAACAATTTTTGGAACTATTCATCAATTTATGATAGACGTATTTTGCAAAGTGGAAAGTTTGGAAAGTATTACACTGGATGATATTGGATCGTATTATTTATCAGGCTTGGTAAGAGACTTGGCAAAACTCAAGAGAATCAAATCATTTTCTCTAATGACTTTTAATAGAAGTTATGATGATATAGACTTTAGTGTGGAATGGCCACTGGAGAGATTTCATGCTTGGGGTTCTCCATTAACAATCAATTCATGGATTTCGTTTCTGGAGAGCAAATCTGCCAGAACTGTAAAAGAGCTAACAGTTAATTTCATTCCCAATGACAAATCTGTTTTGGAAAAATTGTCAAACTTACAATCATTGACATGTCTTCAAAGCTCACACAAAGTATTTGATGGTGATAAATTCAAATACATATCAGAGTTAGTGAAATTGAAGAAACAATGGTAATGAGGGCTTGAAATATATTTCCAATTTGACGAATATGGAAAGTTTAAACTTGTCAAACAGTGAAATAACCAGTAGTGGTATATCTCAGTTTGGGATTCTTAAGAATCTACAAGAGTTGGATCTTTCTAGTAATTTAATTAACTCAGAAGGAGCAAACTATCTGAGCTCATTATATAATTTAACAAGTTTAGCTCTAAATGATAATTCAATTACTGGGGAAGGTTTGAGAAACTTCAGTAACCTTACAAACTTAACTGAATTGTTTTTGGACAACAATAATATTGGAAGTGTTGGTGCCAATTATCTATCATCAAATACTAACATCAAGTTTCTAACTCTTTCTAACAATTCTATTGCAGATGAGGGTTTAGAAAATTTTGGAAATTTGAAATCATTAATCCATCTTAATTTGAATTTTAATAATGTTCAACGTGGATTAATTTATCTATCTGAATGTAAATTATTAAAACAATTGGATATTCAACACAATAACCTTACTGATCAAGAATTAATTGATTTTTTCGATAAAGAACTAAGTATTGAAGAATTAGATCTTTCAGAAAACAAAAAACTATCAGGAAAATCATTTAAAAACATTTGTAAACAGAGAAAACTTTCCATTTTAAACATTGGAAGTAACCCAAAACTTGGAGATTTATCACTCTCCCATTTGGCATCTCTAAATCTATTAACATTGAGAGCAAATAATTGCGGAATTACTGATAAAGGGCTAGTGAAATTCTTACAAGAAAATTCGAATAGAAATTCGAGCAAACGATTGAATCTCTACTTGGAAGAAACCCCATTTACAAATATTGCATTGGAGGAATTACTTAATCAAGCAAGTTTCATAGAAGAGCTGCAAATTACTTTTTCATCCAAATTTGATGAAGCTCTCACAAAGAAATTGAATGAAAGAATACCAAAATTTTTCATGTCAAACGAGATTTTGGAACAAGCAAAGAAACCTAACAATTGTTTACTTCAATAATTTCAAATCAATTAACAATATTTACAGTATCGAGCTCTAACATCAACATGATCAAGTTATTATTACCGTTTTAACAAAGGCTAACCTAGAGTTTAAATACTAAAGTTTAGGATGGTTTATGATAGTTTTCAAAAGCCTCCATATCCTCCCTCTTGAAAAAGAAGTGCACCCCAAATGCCCCAACAACATGTCCATAGAAACTGTTCTGCTCCTTGATAAGTTCAGTCTCAGCTCACTTTACAGCCAAGATAAGAAGCCCAAAAGGCAATCTTGCAAACATCAGTAAAAAAATCATTCAAACGCGACTATTTACTTTAACACACGGTTTTTTCTCCTCTCTGAAAATTGTTGTTATAGGATCATCCAGTCTATTTAAATTGGAGGAGTGTAGTAATAGAGATAAACAGAATATATATTTAAATTATTATTGTTAAGTGGAAGGCTTTGAATTTTATATAATGGCAACTCTTGATGAAGATTCGAGGTGGAAGGGACATCATTTGTACGGAGACGATTATTTTGATCCAAAGAATGATCCTCCATTGTTGGTAATTCATGTAACGGAGCCTTTGAAAGAAGGTAAGTCTAATTTGTGGAACGTTTGGAAATTAATTGATTTAATTATTTAATAATATTTAAATATTTAAATATTGGATGATGGTGAATAGGAAGCGGTTTATCTGCACATACAACCTATCTAGTAACAACCACAGTATTTGTAAGTATTAAGCTCTTCTTGATGTACTTAATGTGATCATCAAAGGCTACCAAGAAATCGTACTGTATCAGAAGGAGATACAAGGAATTTAAGAAACTATTTGAAGAGATGACTAAATTGAGAGGAGTTAACCTTTCATCATTTCCAAAGAAGAAGTTAAAGAGTAAGTTGTTTATTTTACCGTTACATTGAATTAAATTTAAATATTATTATTAAATAATATGTAATTAAATAATAATTAAAGAATTTGATTATGATATTGTGGAAGAGAGAAGATTATCTTTTGAAATTATTCTCAGAGAAATGGCAGATCATCACCAAATTGTGATTGCTCCATTATTTAGAAGATTTGTTGAAGTTCCTTTGAATGTGAATGTTTTCCCTTCGGATTTTAATATTAATTCATATACAGCAAGAAGAAAATCTACAGTCACACCAAGAGATCAACCAAAACATCAAAGTATTAGTAAGAAAGCTCCACCTCCACCACCTCCTTCATCACAATCATCTGTAAATCAGCTCGACAGTGAACAACAGGTCACTGTTATTATTCCTCCACCACCCCAACAACAAACTGTCAAGACAGCTAGTCCACAACCTCCTGTTGAAGCTGTTAGTCCAGTTTCCCCTCAGCAACCACAAACATCTATTCCTGTTCGTACACAACAGGAACAACCATCACCTGTTAGTCCAGTGAAAAGAAATTCACAATCACAATTAGAACAGCAACCAGTTCCTGAAGTTGTTGACCCAAACACACCAGTAATTATTCTTTCACCAACAACAGCACAACAATCACAACAACAATTTTCACAACAGCAACAACAAGCACAACCAACAGTACCTCATCAACAACAACCAGTAGATGTCTCTACATTCATAGAGGAGATGAGAATGCAACATCAAAATAGACAATCTTTAAAATCCAATCCAACATCACCTGTTGTACAAGTATCTGAACCAGTAAAAGAATTGGATGAAGATGTTATTGAGGTTAGACAAGTTCCTTTACCTCCAAAAAGAAAGAGTCAGGAACGAACATCATCACCACAATATGAAAATTCCAAGACTGATGCAAGAAGATTTACTGAGGAGGAATCAACAGATTATAGTACTAATTTCAGACCTATGGTGGAGGAAGATGAAGCTGTGGATCAAACTGAAGGAGATAATAATTTTAATATGGCAATGCTTAACCTGGGAGCACAACCAATCAGAGTACAAGCAAGAATGTCTACTGGTGCACTTCATACACCATATCATCAAATTAAGAGAGATTCAATTACTTCAAAGTTAGCTGATATTGATCCTGAGCAACAAGTTCAGGAAATTTTGAGACAAATCAAAGGAGAATCTAATGTAGAGTAAATAAGGATAAATTTATTTATCCCACTTTCCTTGTTGTCTCAACTTGTTAACTTCGTCAACAGCAATTTGTTTGAGAGCAATATAGTCAATCTTGGCGACACGATTAAGAGGCATGTCAGAAGTGAGGAAAACAACGTGTGATGGTCTCTTGTAGGCTGCCATTTCATTACAGGCCTTCATAACATCTGAAACAGTGATGGACTTATCTTCCTTATCCTTCAATTCAATCAAAACAACAATACCCTCAGAGAAGATTTCATGATCAACACCAACAGCACCAACACGAGCAATCTTTTCCTTAAATGATTGTTCAATAAATTCTTCAACTTCACCAGGGAAAACTTGATAACCCTTTGGTTTGATGACGAACTTTCTACGAGAAGCAAAGTGCAACCCAAGATTATCATAAGAACCAACATCGCCAGTGTACAAGATGAAATCATTTGGATCCTTACTTTCCTTCTTTTCAATGGTGAGTGGAACAATGGTTTGTCTCATTGTTTCAGCAAGTTCTGGATTTTCATCAGCTCCATGATATCTAGAAAAATTTCAATGTAATATCCAATAGTTAGTTCAATAAAAATTATTTAAGAGCTTGTGTAAAAAAAATAAATACTAAGCTACAAACCCAACAAAGATTTGAGGACCAGTGAAACAAACTTCACCAACCTCAGAAGCTTTCTTCTCAGCTCCAGCAATATAGACGCCATCTACAAGTACAGGTGGTTCACGAACACTGATTGGACACAATGGAGAATCATAACCAATGGATGCCATAATTTCAGAAACACCAACACCGAGTTGACTGTATGTAACGAAACCAGCAGTTTCAGTCAAACCCAAACCAGAGCAAATTAATGGAGCCATGGTTTGCATCTTTTCTAAAAATTGGGTAGTGACAGCTTGACCACCATAAATAGCTAATTTGAGACTAGACAAGTCATATTTGGAATAGTTTGGCAATCTCCATTGCAATTGGAAGAGGGCTGGAATTTGACCCAAACAATTAACCTTGTACTTTTCAATAGCTTGCAAACTCTTTTCAGCATCGAAAATGTGTAAAATAACACAAGAACCACCGGCATAGATGGTTGTGAAAAATTGTTCAGTAATGCAACCAACGTGACTTGGTGGCAAATTGCACAACATGACAACTGTTTCGTCCTTTGCCCATGGATCAAAGAAAGCTCTCTTGAGACCAATATTTTGAATAATAATATTAGCATGTGAAAGTTTAGCAGCCTATTTAAACAGTTAACATAATTATCACAAGTATCCAAATAGTAGAATTTTCAAATATTTTCAAATCAATTTCAATCATTTTCATTATAATAAATTCTCTGTTAAAAAAATCAATTCTCAAATATAACATTACCTTTGGATTACCAGTTGATCCTGTTGTAAAAATGATAATAGCTGGATCATTAGGACTAACTTGCGATTCATGGTAAGCAACACCACCACCGACCCAGGATTTCAAATAATCAAAAATAAATAAACTCTTAACGTTGGCAACAAAATCAAGAATGCCAATAGCTCCATCAATAACCAAATCCTTTTCCTTTTGGAATTGAACCCAGTGAGTAATAGTTCCAGTACCAGTTTCAGTCTTTTTGTAATTCTTCATCAAATTTGAAACCATAGGTCTGAAATCAGCAACTGGAGTTTGACCCAAAAAGAAGTACATTTTTGGACGAATAGCATCAAAACACTTGGCAATTTCATGTTCCTTCAATCTCAAATCCAAAGGAGCAATCACAACACCCAATCTCATACAGGCAAATAATAAATAAATATGTTCCTTCATGAATGGAAGGGAGGTGGCAACAATATCTCCCTTTTTCAATCCACATTCCAATAATTTAGCAGCAAAAGCAGTTGATGACTGTCTCAATGTTGCATAACTAATTTCATCTCCGGTATTAAATTCACACAAGGCCGGATTACTCTTCTTTGTATTTGCATGATAATCGACCAAATCGAAAAGTCTCATCAACTTTACACGTTCATATTCCTCCACAGCTAATTTTCTAAATTCCGTATCGGCAAATGATGCAAGTCTTTCCTTCTCTGGTTGTGCAGACATTTTTTTATGAGCGTGAAAACTTCAAAGCCTTCAAAATTACATTAAAAGAGAATTATCAAGCCTAGATCAAGAAGAAGATTCTTGAATTACATGATCACAACAAATAGATTTATTGAGTGAGGTTTGAAGAAGAAGTTTATTCCGATGGGAAGAATGAAAATTTTCAATGGTTTGTTGTTATTGGTGAACAAGTAGAAGGAGAATTTGAAATATTGAATCTTCAAGCATGACTGTAAATTATTTTCTGTTTTTGGCGCCAATTTGACTTATTGAGCAGAGAAAATGGAATTTTTAAATTAAGGCGGGAAATGAGGAATGGTTCATTGTTAAGAATTGAAATGAGGAATGGTTCATTGTGTGTATTATTTTTTTATTTACCTATTTAGAGAGCAAAGAGAAAGAGGGCTAAACAAAGAAAGAGATGGAAAGTTAAGTGAGATGCAATATTCGAAACAGCATGTTTCGTACTAGTGCTGGCATTGTTAGTGGCTCCACCAGTTGTTCCTCCATTTCCATCGACAACTATTCCATTACCTGTGTAGTAAATTAAATTTGATGAAACCTTACTTGCTATCCAACTCTTGAAATAGGCAACTGAAGTATAAACTCCACGATTGCTATACGAAGACGAAACTCCACAACCTTCAGGTCCATACGAAACTAAACCACTCACGACCCACAATTTAGTGGTAGCTCCAGAAGTAGTATTCGAGGAATTCGATGAACCAGAATTAATTTGAACTTGCATTGCTAAACCACCTCCAGAATCACCTAATTTAGTTTAAATTCGAATAAATTAATTGGAAATAAATGAACTACTTACCACTACAAGCATCAATACCATTTCCTGAACCGGCACATATTTGTCCCTTACTCTGACTCATATCTAATCCCAATGAATTACAATACTTGTCATCGACTAATGGAGCGAGGCCTTTCATCATATAATTGGAAGCTGTTCCAACATTATCATTGGTGAGACCCCATCCAATGATATAGTGAGGTGTTCCAACAGCTGCATTGGTCATTGGAATCATGGCAATGTTGGCTGTTGGAAGGGAAATGTCAGATGCCAATTCATAAATTGCAACATCGTTCACTACATTGTTTCCATCATATTTTTCATGGTTAGTGATGGATTTTACTTGAACTCTTTGACAAGCACTGTATGTACCAACTTTTGAAGGACAAGAAGATAATGAGTTGGTGCCATACACAATGGTCAACTTGGATGGATTAGTCACAGCTCCAGAATCTTCAAAATTACAATGGGCTGCTGTAAGAATGTATTTACTCGCAATAACAGAACCTCCACATATATGTTGCGGAGTAGATGAAGACGAATCTTGATATTGAATCGAAACTAGGAAGGGAAATTCCTGAGGTGATGCTTGAGTGCCTCCCTGAACATGAATAGAAAATTTCGAACACTGAATTCGAAGAATAAGATTCAGAATTGAATAGATGATAAGAAAAATTGTAACGTTTCTCATTGTTTAGTTTAGTGTATTTTTTTAATAATGTTCTTCACTATTCGAATCCCTTAAAAAGGAAGGAAAGATGAAGAATTTAAAAAGTAGATACATTGGATATAGTTCTCTTCTTTGAATAGATATTCCTTTGGAACTTGATTCCTTTCAAATTTACTTCCAATCCTCATTTCTCTTTACTATTATTAGTTATTTCCAATACACCAAATCCTTTTTCAACGAGAGAGAAAATTCACCAATGTAAGCTAAGGATCCTTTCTAATTTCAAGTCAACCAATTGAAACTAAACATAGAGTTTCTTTACACTTTTGAAAATTAAAAAATAAAAAGTTTAACAATGAAACTAATCTATTTATTTCTTAATAGCATTCAAATCCAAAGTTCTGGTATTTCTAGTATTCTTAGTGAGCTTACATGGAATAGTATTTGGAGTAATGTAAGCATTGGTAGTGAACTTTAATGGTGACAAGGTAACACCTGGAACCAAAGATGGAACATAATTATCATAAACCAATTCAACAGTCAAAGCAGTGTAACCTTGAGGTGGGTTTCTAACCAAAACATGATATTCGTTTGGTTTAGTTTCTTGCAACAAGGTAGAATTCCAAACGTTTGTACCAATAATGTAAGTTCTGAATTCACGTCCATTTGGATTAGTGGCAGACCACAAGACAACTCTGGATGGTCTATTGTTTTGAATTTTAACCTTGACAATGACACCTTCATCAACAAATCTGTGAGAGAAGGTAAATCTTGGCATGGTGACACCTGACAATCTGGCAACTTGATAACTCAACAAGACTTGGAAGACATCAGAACCAGCCAATGAGTGACCAGTATTTGGAATATATCTAACATACTTATCACCTTCAATACTATCATAACCAAGATCGTTCAATTCTGGGCTGAAGAATTCATCTCCCAAACTCAAAACTTGATACTTGGAAATTTGATCCAAACGTGGATAATTGACAGGATCAACAATTTTAGTGAGCTTTTCAAAACCAGTGGTGAACATGTCATTGGTAACACCAGCAGCAATGTAATCAGCCATTGCAGGAGGCCAATAACAAATGTTATTGTAAGTTCTTTCGAAAACTTCCTTAGTGTGCCAGACTGGAATGACAGCAGGAACGAGTGAAGTAACTCTGGACTATTAATTATTGTAAAATATTGTAAAGTATTGTAAATATTAATAATTATTGAAAAATGAAACTCTATATACTTACATCAACACCAGCAAGTAAAATACTAGACCAACCTCTCTTGGAAGCACCAATAACATTCCATGTAGCAATTTCATAATTTACAGTTGACTTGACAAACTTGGTAACAACATCCAAAGCAATCTTTGATGCCTTAACCATTGGCAATTGAGTAACATAATTGACATTGGCAGTGTCATTAATAAAACGCTTCCATCCAAAAGCAATGATAGCATCTTCACTTCTAGAAGCTTGAGTAGGATCAGAGGCATAAGTAATTGGTTGATTAGGAATGTCATAAACAGTGACACCGACAGATTTAGTGGCATATGAATATGGAGTAATGATGGCATCAACACCAGGTACAGAACCAGTATTAGAACCACCTGTGAAATAGACTGTAGCTTGTGATTTAGTCTTGTCCAATGAAATTGGTACAGAAACAGTGACATAATTGAACCATGTGGATCTGACACCAACTTCAGCAGGTGTCAAGAAGGATAATGTTGTTACATTTAATACATATACAGTGGCCACTGTTGTTTGAACAGTGGACAATAGGGTGTAGGAGGTGACACTTTCTGGAGAGGCAACATAGTTGGCCAATGCTTGAGTAAAGTCAATGTGACTACTGGCACGTGCCATGACAGCAACGGCAAGCATCAAACTGACCAACAAACTGCAAAGAATGGTGGTTGATTTCATTTTTGTTTTTTTTTTGAGTTGGAAGCACAAATTATCGGCAAAAGGGTCTTTAAAATGTGAAATGCCACTTGACAGTTACAGAATTTCCTCACAAAATTGACAAGAGAATCGAATTTTTATTGGTAACTGACAAACATAAAAGAGCATGTTATCTGGTGATGGGCTGTCAGTAAGTGACACTACATTAACATGGGAAAGAAGTTACACAAAAAGTCAAGTATACGTAAGGCAAGTGGCATTTGGCTTGTGAAATTATTAGTGATTACTGACAATTTGTTAATATTGGAAGAGAGTCCAGATAAATAATGTAGTATTGGTTGTAATATTTGCTGTTTTGCTTTTTTTGAAATACTTGCACCATTTCGGTTGTTAAGGTTTCGTATATATTGGTATAAGAATAGCCGAGGATCGCATGTTTCAATCATTTATCCAGTTCATAGTTTCGTTTATTTTTGGACCAGTTTCCATCTACAATTTTCATTTACAGTACTGACATTGTAATAGGTTTGTAAAATTCTTTCCAATTTTTCGAATAACTTTTCAATGACATTATTCCACAAAAAAGTGAAACCAAATCAACAATATAATTCAATTTCCAACTTCTATTCCATCATATATGAAATTCCCTCATATAAAAAGTAAAATCTTTGATATTTTTCATCAAAACTAATACTAGACACAGTTCCTTCTCCCTTATATTCCTTTTCCACTTTCATACTTTCTAAATTCATTACACAAATCAGTGAAGAGTTAGAGTTGGGGAAGAGAACTTTTCTGCTTGATGGTTCATAACACAAACACCAAATTGATTGTGTGGTGCTGAGTTGACTAGCTTCAAATTGGAGGTTGTGAGATAATTTACACTTGAAAAATGATTTTTCTCTTGAGACAATTAAGAATAGATCCAACTCTTTCGAATAAATCATACTCATTGGTTTTCCAAGAGTCACACCTCCAAAATCATAAACTACTTTCAGCAAGTTACCATCCAAGGAATCGTACAGTTTCAATCTTTTGTTATCAGTATCGGCAACAACAATTAAATTTCCCCTAACATTCGAATACTTTCCATTCGACTCGACACATACAACTGATCGACCATATGAAAATCCCTCCTCAGAATACGAATCATATCTCAATCCTTTAACCCAAATACAGTTAGTTTCCTTTCCAGATTTACTATTCTCAATCCACTCCTTAATATTATACTTGTATAATCTTTGATCAGAGCTGAGAAATATTAAATAATCAATAATTTGAGAATTTATATCCACGAAACTTTCCAAACACATTGCCCTCACAGAATAGTATATGGTATGAACTAATTTTGTAATTGGATTTCCTCCCTGCAAGTTTCGAATAATATTTCCATCATCATTCAGATAGACAGTTAGTCCATACTGTCCGAAACCAAAATTCTCCTCCACAATGATATAATCACCATATGATAACAATATACTAATTCCACCACCACTAGCTTTCTTCGGATTAGTTTCATTTAATTTGATTTTTAAATTAAATATATCCAATTGCTTATGATGATCGAGACGAAATTTGTCAAATAATTGTGATGATCCGATGGATTGATCGAGTAAGAGAATGAGTTGATCATGATCGATCGACATTTTTTTAATTATTGGAAATACGAAAGTTGTTTGTGTCCAAAATTTCTGAGTGGTTAAACTACAAAGTGAACTATTTACTAGTTTTTCATTAACAAATTATTAAGGACTAATTTCGATTTTTCACAACGTTACATGTATTTGTCAACCTGTAACGATATTGAAAACAATATTCGAAAATACATACTGGATACATACCATATTTAGTATCTTTCCAACTTTACAAATAAGGTAATTATGATAGTCCATACGAGCGACAGTAACTTTTGTGCATTTTCTATACAATCGTGAGCAGTAATCAAATATTTGTTTACATAACAACGACATTGTTTTTTCATTTTCGTTGTGTTTAGTCTTGGATAACAAAAGAAATAACAAGAAATGGAACAAGTTAAAGTTTACAGAAGTGCAGTTATTAATGCGAGTGTGGAGACTGTGTGGCAAGTTGTGAAGAATTTCAACGAGCTTCCAAAGTGGACGGGTGTTGTTTCGGATAGTGTATTGGAAGGTGGAATGCAAGATAATTCAATTGGATGTGTGAGAGTTGTTTCTCTGTTGAATCCGAATCCTCAAGATGATAGACCAATTAGAGAACAATTAATTGCCTATGATTCAAGAAATCACTCCTTCACATACAAGATTTTAAGTGGACCTAAACCTTTCGAATATTTTAATGAATATTATGCAACAGTAACTTTAGTCAAAATTACAGATTCTAATCAGACATTCATTGAGTGGAAATCTGAATTTACCTGTCCACAAGGAAACCAAGAACAATTCGAGAAATTTGCAGGTGCAGTTTACATGAAGGGAATTAAATCTCTTCAACAACAATTTCCTTAAATTGTTACAATAAATTTCAACATTTGAAAAGAAATCTTCAAAATTGGATGAAAGTATTATTATTTACAATTATTCCAAGTACTTTTACTTGCCAAGGACCTTATTCAACACTTCAAGTGTATGTTTCCACACAATTTCTCTATAGTTTTCGGTATGATTTTTCGTTACACCCTTTGGCTCACCATACTGATCCAATAAGTAGAAACCCTTCCTAATCTTTTCTTCACTCAATGCAGCATTGAAAGTGTACTCTGCATACTGTTCAGGAGATCTAGCAAGCATAGTTCCAACATTCCATGCCCATCTCAAAGGAGCCCACAATTCACGTCCCCATTGAGTTGCAATGAATCCAGGATATTGATGCATGAATGCAATATTCTCATTTCCTTCGTCCCTTGATAGAGAATCCATTGCCAAATCATTGTAAAATCCAGAGGCATCTGCTGCATTTTTCAATGTATAATTCTGTTTTAAATCCAAATCATCCATATGAGTGTAGGAGTGAATTCCAGCTGACAGGACACTCAGAACTTTGACATTTGAATTTTTGGATGTAGATCTCAATAAATCCTGTAATTGTCTAATGAACAACATTCTTCCATAATAATGGAGTGCAAGTTTAAATTCAAGACCTTCCTTAGTTTCTGTTCTTGCTCCCATATTTGCAATTCCTTGAGTGAGCACACAATAATCCAAACGATCATGATTTTTCTTGTACTCCTCACAAACTCTCTCAATGTCCTTCATAAGTGTTGCATCTACACTAATCATCTCAAATTTACCTTGGGGATTTAACTTTTGCATTTCCTCAATAATTTCCTTCCCTGCCTGCTCACTTCTTCCCATGATGGAAACATTGATCTTTTGTGAGGCCAATTTAATAGCGAGAGCTCTTCCGATACCAGAGGTTCCTCCCACACAGAGTGCTTGTTTAGTGGCCATTGTGTTTTCTTGTTGAATGTTGTCTCGTTTTTTTGTATTATAAAGTATGTGTGCTGAGATAATTTACATTTTGAAACACTACAAATTAATGCGTGCGCGCAAGATTAGGCAAAAGCAAGGAAAGAAAATGCGTACGAGCATAATCAAATCAATTTGATGGTATTATCAAATATTGAGAAGTATTTCCTCACTTCAGCTATTGTTCAATATAGAATTCTATATTTCTTTTTTACAACATTCAAAATCTTTTTCTCCACAGAATACAATACATTACTTATTTCCACACCAACAGTTTCTCCTTCAATTAGTTTTTGTTCTGATAATCTCAATTAAACCTACTTGTCCAATTGATTAAAATAGTCATCAATCCGTTCATAGGAATTCTCAATGCACCTTGAATAGGCATCATTATCCAACAAGCACTTGTCAAACTCTGAATTGAGATTCTTTTCAAAGCAGGTTTGAATTTGTTTGGCACACATTAAACTTCCAATACATGCTTCACACATTTTACGATTTACAATTCTGTCACTTTCTAGCCATACTTCCCTATCCAATTCTGGTAAGCAATCTCTTTCCACTTGTTTTATCAATTCAGTTCCGTAATCTTGTTTTCCATTTAGAGCTAGTTGAGATGAATCATAGAAATATTTGAAAGCAATTTTAGGTGGTGACAAGTAAATCTTCTTTGCATTATTAAATAATTGAGATACACACTTAGAATTATGCAGTGTCATGTACGAATTGACCAAACTCCTCATTTCCAACGAACGTACTTCCTCTGCATATTCATCATTAAATGGTTTATCATCATTTCCTTTGTTTAACTTCATCAAATTAACAAACTTTTCCCAAGTTTCACCTTCAAGACAATCCCAATTTGCCACTTCTTTCCCCACACTCTCAAATTCCTTCGGAGATAAATCCAATATTTTCTCTCTATTACTCCACGATTTAAAAGCAATTCCAAATTCACTATTCATTGAATGAACAACACATGATTTTAGCAAAAAGTATAAAATCTCCAACTTGGCTCCATTATTATTTGTATTATTAATTGTATTATTTAATTCTGATGATGATGCTTGTGAAGAATTTAATTGTGAAAGTTTGTTAAAAAGAGGATTGCATGGGCTGCTTGTGTTTTGCTCGCCATGATTAGTGGATGATAATGCGAATAGCATTTTAAATGTGATACGAGCATCAGTGTGTGCTTGATTATTTGTTGACATTTTTTTCAATATTTATTGTAAAGATTGAATTACATTTATTGTAATCTTTTATTCTTATGGATTCTGTAACAGTTTGTGAGCGTCATTAAGAATTAGAAATATTGGTGTGATAATTTTTGAAAACAATCAACACAGTATGGTAAAAACTCAGTTGGAGTGTTTGGAACCAAAAATGATTAACAATTCACCTATTCCATTATGAAACAAAATTGAAACGTTTCATTTTAGTCAACTATCCATTTTCACTCAACGAATTTCCCAATCCAACATAAAATCCACAACAGTTGTTCCTTTTTTGTTAATTTTACATTTATAAACAAACTTTAGTACACAAAACACAATCTTTCAAACATATAAATACCCAACAAACTTCATCCTCATTCAAATTCAATTCACACATAAAAAACAACTCAAAAACAATGAACAAATTCATCGCTGCTCTGGTAGCAACTCTACTCTTGGCTTCTTGCTTGGTCAACTGTCAATACAGCAACAATTATGGTACTAATTATGGTACATCAGGGGGTTCAGGTTCTAACTATGGAGTCACTGGAGGAAATTACAATCAATATGGACAAAATACTCAATCCTATTTGAATCAAGTGAATGCAGTCAATTCAAATCCATACTCAAGTTATGGATCTTCATATACAGGACCAAGTAGTTATGGAACTAATTATGGAAGTGCCTATTCAATGCCATTCTATGGTGGATACGGAGGAGGATATGGAATTCCATGTTATGGTGGATATGGTGGAGGTGTTCCATTCTACGGTGGATACGGTGGTTATGGATATGGTGGTTATGGTGGATATGGTGGTGTGGGTTGTGTTGGAGGTGTTAGATGGTGTTAAGATCCAAAGAGTGGATGTTTTTCATTCACATCCTTAATTTAGTGTTAATATTTAGTGTTTTAATATTTCTAGAGTGAATAAAAATTGATTAAATTTGTTTAAAATATTGTAGAGCTATCTTATTCGCGTTTGTTTAGGTTACGTTGTAATGAAAAGTTGTCAAATGTCCAAGATCAAAAAAAATGCCATTATTTAAAAGTATTTGTGGAGCTGGTGATGCTGTCGATGATTTGAAAATGGTGAGAGAACCACCACTTCTGATCAGAGAGTTGTTGATTCATATTGGAAAATTCATGCTGGTCCGAGATTTATTCCACTTTTCATGTTGCAATTCCTATTTATTAGAATTGTTTTTTGATCCGAAAGATTATAAGAAACTGTCGAAAGAAAAAAGAAGATTGATAAAGAAAAATCAACTAAATTACAAATCAGAACTATTAATTCAAGAATATTCAAAGGAAGAACGAAATGATTTTTCACAAATTCAGTTGGAAATTTGGAAACGTTTAGTTTGTTTCTATTTTCCATCATTTGATTCGAATTTGAATGTTAAAAATTGGCTGCATGTGATGAGAAGGCGAGTAGAGCACATTACATTGTACAAACCAAGTGCTCTTCCGCTCAACCCTGAAGTATCATGCACAGTAGATTTCTCAGTATTTAACAAATTTTTAGAACAAGGACATTTGGATAATTACATGTTGAATGATTCAACTTTTGTGGCAAATTGTGAATGGATCTATAAGTGCCCTCTGAATTTTTCTCAATTAATGTACTCTGACAGTTTTTTCTGTAAGGAATGTAATAAGAAGGTCTATAGAGTGAGCTCAGTTGAGGAGTTGAAGGAAAAGAGTGCTTTGGGACAGTGTATTGCATTTGGGGTAGAAGAGCAATTTTATGGAGGATTGATGTAATATTTCCAACTTGTCCTTAGTGTAAAGTGGTCATTTAAATGGAAAAATAAAATATCATAAATTAAAATGGATTGGGTACCAGTAATTACAACAACCAGTGAGAATGAATACCATGATTTAAAAGGAAACGGGGACCAGTGGGAATCGAACCCACGGCCTCTCGCACCCAAAGCGAGAATCATACCACTAGACCATGGTCCCTAACATTAAATGTCCATTTTATTTAAAATTCCAGCCTGTAACCGCCAAGTAGTTGAATAAGGTTTTGGACTAGGTCATTATTATCCACGTTTTAAGATATTTGCTTTTTAAATATTGTAACTACGGTTAATAATCAAAGCTCTCAATTAAAATATTCATGGCTGGAACTTTCAACTCTTTCAATATTTCTATCAAACTTTCATTGAATGGAGTCGGTCCACAAACGTAAACAACCCTTTCCTCAACATCTTTCACCAATTCACTCAACAATTTCATGTCCAATCTTTGGCACTTCACATCTTCCATTGAAACATCTTGCATTCTTGTAACACAATAATTCAATTGATTGATAATTCCCTTTTCCTTGTACTGATCCAACTCTGACTTGAATGGAATGTCATTTACAAACTTTTCACTATGAATCCATTGAATATGAGGTGCATCTTTGATATCGAGAATGGAGTCTTGAATACTGTGAAAAGTTCCACGAATCATGGACATGAATGGAGTGATTCCGATTCCGCCACTCAGGAAGAGAACTTTCCATTGTAGATTGGAAGAAGTTTCTTGAGATTTCTTTAAGGCGACATGATAGGAAGTTTGAAGTGTAAAGTTTCCTTCAATTCCCATTAGAAATAGCTTTGTTTCACCTATTTTTGCATCTTGATGAAGCCATGAACTAGTTTTACCCAAACTAATCTTCTTGACCGATATTTCAAAGTTATTCGTTTCATTGGAAGGTCCACTTTCAATATTCCCATCTTTGGAAGGAGGAATAAGATACATGGCAGACGAAACTGTCCAACTTCTCATATAAGGATGATCTAAAGAGAGTGTAAATGTAGCATATTGTCCAGGAAGATAGGTAATATTTCTATGACCTTCCAAAATCTCAAATCCAAATGAGGAAATTTCATCAGTTATTTTTTTCACACTCACCAACTTGGCATGAACAATTTCTCCCAAATGTTTCTCCTTCATTAGTGGGGCTACATTGAAAACTTCCTTCCTGGATGGATTTAAACTTTCCAAATCATTGGAATCATTCAAGAGTGGATTGTGTGAAGACATGGATATGAAATCCCATTTGAAAGGACATTGATGATTAGAAACTTTCCACTTTTCAACCTTGAAAACAACTGTACGATCACTACCATCGAATCCGCTTCCTGGTTCTTCCCTCCATGTTACTTGAATATTGCCAGTCAATTGGAGAATATGTCCATGATCAAAGTCAATAAAGAGTAAACCAGCAGAGGAGCAATTCTCTGTGTTTCCTAATGTTTGAAACATACCCTTTCCAACATAATCACCCCATACTAGAGTGTCTCTGTCAATGATTCTGATAAAGCCAGGTCTTCCTCCTCGATGAGAACCTTAAATAGTTTGAATTGGTAAAGATTCGAATAGATGAAATAAACTTACAATCAGCTCCTTTTTCTGGGTGTACAGTAGAAATCATCATCGTATCTGCTCCCAGTATGAACTTGATAACATTTTCTGGCATTCCACCAGTTGAGAAATTATTATAATCTCTAGTTGACTTGCTCCATTCCTCAAATCCAATAATCGATTGAACAGCCCTCTGTTGAATATACTTTGGACAAGTAGAAAACGCTTCCCTAACCCTAATAGAAAACCCATCTCCACTCAATGGCTCTATAATCTCACCATTCGTTCTGTATCTCTTCCTCGAACATAAATCAAGGAAATTAATACTCACCAATGAGCCAAGTTGTGAACAAGTTTTCCACATTGGATCATTTTCATTGGGAGATTTGAGAATTTTGATGATTGTACCGTCCTTACTAATCTTAATAAGTTGATTGAAATGGGACAAGTCGACCCGTTCGTGATGTTTCGAATTGAGATCTTGAGCACTTGAAACATTGCATGGATCATATAAGGAACAGATTAATCGAGAGGTTTGTAATTCTTCTACGGAGGTGGAAACTTGAGCATTTAAGGGAATCCATGGAGAGTCCTTCTCTTGCTCATAGGAAGTCAACTCATCTGATTCCAAAGTTGACTGTTTCGAATACATTTCATGTTGTTTAGGAGTTGCCCAAATCGATGAGCACCAACACTCATTAGTTTCCTTATCAAACGAAGCCACAAACACAACAAATCGTTCCATTAGAAATGAATGAAATTCCTCTGGGACATGATTCGTAATTTTTCTGCTACCCAAATGATTGGCAAACTCGAGAGTGTGAGCTTTTCTTTGGAAATCCAATTCTCCTTCGTGAAAAACTGATTTTTCTAAAGGTTTCGGTTGAGAAGTGGGTTGGTTAGATGTTGGTTGAGTGGACATTTTTTTTACTTCATGATTTCGAATAGAAATTAAAAAGGATTATTTTAAAAATTGTAAATAGCCATGTTTGGTGAGTAGCTAAAATGAAAAGATTTAAATTGATGATGAAAATCAACCAGTTGATTGTAATCTTCAATGAAATTCAATTTTATTAAAATACTTTACAATGCGAATTTTTTGTGGAAATTTGTTTTTCATTTCCAAAAAAATGTACAAAAGTAATCAGCAGCTCGTGGACTGGTTGTCGAATCAGCAGTATTTTCCTTCGTTACTCTTGCATAGTAAGTTTGATCACACTTTCGAATAATATTTAGCTTGAATTTATTAGAAATTCGGGAGAGTGGTTGTGATGAAGAAACAATATTAAACACAGATTCACAATTTTTACTTGGAAGAATGTTTGAAAGTGGATATCTAGTAGAAAAATCCATGAAGAAAGCAAACGAATGGTATTCTAAAGCATTACAATCATTTGTTAAACCTGAAAATGAAAACCAACCTCACATTCAGTACTATTTAGGAAATATGTGTTACAAAGGAATCATCTTGAAACAATCATATGAAAGGGCATTTAAATGGTTTCAAAAAGCAGCAAATGGAAATCATGGAAAATCAATTTACAATTTAGGATTAATGTACTATTTTGGATTGAGAAATCTTATGAAAATGCAGTTGAATATTTTGAAAAAGCTTGTAATTTTGGAATGTACACAATGTCAAAGTATTACTTGAGTCACATGTATCAGAAAGGTTTAGGTGTGCCAATTTCGAATGAGAAATCGTTACAATTACTTTATGAATCAGCGAGTCATGGGTTTGTGCATTCACAACTTCGTTTAGGACCTCGTTATAAGAATGGAGAGGGCATTGAGCAATCTTTCGAATTCTTTCAAAAATCTGCCAATCAAGACCATATACAAGCTCAAACCGAGTCGGGAATAATGTTTTATCATGGACAAGGCGTTTTGAGATTATTGAACCACTAACTGAAGTAACTAAACCCAATATGAAAAAATTCAATTTATTGTACAATAAACTTTACATCATTGATTCATTCAATTGTTTCATCAGTTCATCCAAATCTTGATTTTCAACATTTACCAATTCCTTCTCATCAACCTTCTTATTGTGATGTTCGTATTGATATTCGAGACCGTGTGATAAATCTTCATGACGATGAGCATGTGAGTGAATGTCAATATCTTCAACTTCATCAGCAACAATTTCAATACCCCATTCATTTTCTGTGTGAACAATCTTCTTTTCATCAGCTTGTTCCTTATCTTCTTCATCGAGATCCAAGTCGAGTAAACCTTCTTCCTTCAATTTGGCAATTTCAGTTTGTCTCTTGAGACACATTGGATTGGAACATTGAGGATTTGGACGAACCTTCATGGTTGGGAAATAATCATTAATGGCACTATAACCCAAGTAATAGCTAATCTTACCAAATCTCAACAAGTATTTCAATACAGATTGAACCAATAAACCAGCAGTAATACCCATAGTTGTTGGTAAACTGGCAGCACAAACACCTTCACGTTTAACTTGCTTAACACCACTTGCAACAACCAATGGTGGAGCACATTCATAACAAGCAGTGAGACCAGGAACCATGAATTGAATGTGACCACTGACAGCATCTTCACTGACTCCACTTTCCATCCATCTAATATTCAATTCATTACAAGCTCTATTAATTGCAACTCTAGCTTCAAAATTATCAACACATGACAATACTAAATCAACCTTTCCATTTGTTAATAAATTTCCAGTATTAATTGTATTCATAAAAGTATCAAAATTGTCCAAAGAAGTAATATTATATGAACATGTTTCAAAAACAACATCAGGATTAATCTTTGAAAGAGTTTCCTTTGAAGCATCCACCTTTGTCATACCAACTTGATCCGGAGTGAAGAACAAACGATTCATATTAGCAAGAGAGACAATATCAAAATCGAACAAGATTAATTTACCAATACCACATCTTGTTAACATTTCGCAAACAACAGCACCAACACCTCCCAATCCAACAACAGCCACAGTAAATTCTCTGATTTTTTCATAATTCTTAACAATACCCATCGATGAGAGAGCCATCAATCTAGAGTATGGATTATCGTCCTTAACTTCGGAAGAAATGACAGAAATTTTCTCTCGGATCACTTTTTGTTGTTGATTTTGAAGTTGATTCTTCAGAGAGGCTACTTCCTCTTCCAATTGTTTGATACGTTCTTCCGATTGTTGTTGACTCATTTTTTTAATATTATATTATTATTATTAGATTAAATAATTTAATGACGTCATGTTTTTTTGAAAATTGAGAGCTCTGTTTTGTAATGTACAAAGAGGTGAATGTGTGTTGTTTTGAATGAAATGATTTCAAATTGGTAGTAGACCTATTTCACTCACTGGTGGAGGTTGGAGGTTCAGATGAGATCTATCTATCTGGGAATTCAGGAGAGTAGGTGCCTGTGAAAAGATGAGAATTGTGGATGGTGTGATCGATAAGTTTTCCATTCTTGTCTACTTGAGAGAATGGACAAATGGTTTCTCCCCTCTCGTTTTCTAATGGTTTTGTTAGTTCCTTATTATTGGTAGATGCTTCATTTCGTAGCCAGAATGCTCTGTCAAAAGCTTTCAGCAGCATGTGATCAGTTTGTTCCTGAATGTTTTGTTCAAAGTACATGATTCCTCCTTCCTTTTCAATAACATAGACAAACTCGTCCAATAATTTGTGGGATGGGAAGGAAATGTCTTTCTGCTTGACAAGATCTTTCAGTTCCTTACTGGCATGTTTAGAATTTGTGATTAATTTTCGTTTCTTATCATCGACAAAATAGGTCATTTCACAAACACCGTTTTGTTTCAATCTATCAAGATACTTCTTGACAGATCCTGAAACTCTATCAAAGAATCCTTCTGATAATCCCAATTTTGATAAAATATCCATTACAAAATGTTGACAATTTGCCTTTCTATTGTCATATGTCTTTGTACCATTCCATTCACAAACAACCTCGGATATAATTTTGAATGCATCTGTAATTTCTTTTTGATCTCTAAATGTATGAATATCTGCAACAAAAACAGCCTTACTACTACTCTTCTTTCTTACTGTGGCAATACTAGAGTCGCAAAACTCAATGTAAAATTCACCGACAATAAGCGCAGAGTGGTACATGCCAAATTGTTGATCCTTCAAGGCTCCAACAGTACTACCAAGTCTTCTGATAATTCTGTGAGCTGTGGAAGTACTCATTTCAGTAATAACCAGCTTTACCTTTAATCCCAATTTGGATGGATGGACTGGTCTGTCCACTCTATCTGGATTGAAATATTTATATCTGAATCTATCTGGAATGACACAATCTTGGGCTACAAGTTCGTGTAATTTTGGAGCTATTGGAGATCTTAAATTTTGAATTTTCTTCAAGCAATAGTTTCTTCTATCAATTTCTACTGGAGTCAGTTTCTTGTCAGGGAATGGTGCACATCTCTTTGGTTTTTTCTTTTTTCTCTTATCATCCTCTGGTACAGAAGTACTTGATGGAACTGATTTAAATTCTGTTGCTCTTGAAGCAAAGTACCCAGATGATTGAGGTTGATATTGTGGAATGTAAGATCCATAGCTAATCTTTGAATCATAATTCAGAGAAGTAGACAACTTGTCCAGATCTGTATAGAAACTTGTTGAAAGGGCTGGTTCTTCAGCAATCTCTGGAACATAAAAGCTTATTTTAGGTCCATTCATTTCCATAGCGGTACTCGAGCTAGATGGTGATGTGCTCATGAGTGCTCTATAGTTAACATCTTCAATGTTATTCTGAATGGATTTATAATATTTGGCCTCTTCATCTTCTTCACCAACAGCGTATAAAAGATCCATGGTCAACTCCACATCATCTCTTGATGGTCTATCTTCCATGTTAATATTAAGTGATCCAGCACTGGTTGTGCTCTGAGAGTTTGACATATTTGGGGTAGATGGATTTACAGAGGATGGAACTGAAGAAAGAAGGGAGCTTTGATTACTTTTTGTGTTATTATTACCATCAATATCAATGCTGATCGATGGTTTAGAAAAGTCTATTACTGATGAAGAGTCACTTGGTGTTGATGAAACAGAGGACGACTCTAAAGTTTCCAATCGCTTGTTATTCGAAGGTGTCAGAATATATGGATTTTTAACAGTATTGCCAACCTTTGGTATCTGTTTGATAGAGAGAACAGGTGGTGTCTCCCCTTTTAATTTATCAATTGGTGGTTCTCCGTGTTCCATAACATTATCAATCCTGAGCTTATCCACAAATAACATAAAAACATTTGCTTGTCTTTCCTTGATTTTTAAATCATTAACACACTTTTCCAAAGTAAGTACATATAATTGTATTCCTCCAAAATCTGATTTCTTTTCGACGGCTATTTATGATGATCAAATTGATTATTAATAAAATTGTTTTTTAGTTCATCATATTACTTACCCTTGATGACATCGGTATGGATGCAAGAACTTCTCATCCATTGTAGAACCATCTTGTGATTCCATTCACAAATTGGATAGCTCTCCACCGAAGGACTTACACTAGAACCTGAAGCCGTCGAATTCTTCTTTACGAAACTCAACATGGCTGGGTCTTGTGATGTTGGTGATACTAATAATATTTCTTTTTTTTACCCTGATATTGTTGTCGCTCCTATTCTTCTGATTCAACTCCAAAGAGTCTGTTTCAAGCTTGAATGAGATGTAATAATAATAATAAATATTATTAAATTATTAAATTAGTATTATCCAAATGGAAAAGAAGTCTTATCAATAAACTACAGTGCTAATCCAAATTTTTGATGATTTGTTTTCTTTTGTGCTATTGATGAGAATTGAAGGGAGTTGGAAGAACACCGTGATTATAATCAAAAACAACAAAAATATATGAAGTGGTGATAAACACCTAACTAGCTGATGAGGCGATGAAACACACTTTAAAATTGATTGCTCTCTCACCAATAACAAAGAAGAACAATAAAGAGTTAGACCTCGCTCTGTTGATGATGATTTTTTTCACTCAATTGCCCGAAAATCCTGTTGTTTTTATTACTGCAAAAACTTATCAAGATTCCAAATTTATGAATTTATTAAGGAGCACCATAAGAAATGGATCTTCCGAATATTGAATGAATATGTCATTCTGTGGAGATGCTTCGTACTTTTGAAAATGCACAAGTTTTGGAATAGAGAGTTAGATGATGTACAGTTAGAGAGGTTGTTGAGCTGGCCTGCAGTACTACATTAATGGCTAGTATTGATAGAAGTGGAATCAAAGACGTGTTCATTCACTAATTGTTGGTACACTTCCCTCAACCTGTGATATTCCTTAATGCAGAAAATGATAGCATGACTCACTTTGGAAATGTCAGATCTCATCAAATCAGATCCAGGTGGTTTTAGTATATTCATCCCCCAAATGAAAGCTAGATTGGATTCTGTCATTCTGGATGTTTCAATATTTGGTGGTTCTGATATTTTCCGTAAGAGAGAAAGTAAACTGATGAATAGTGATCTATTGCAAGGTGGAAGAGCAATGAAAAGCTTTTTCATAAATTCTCTGGCTTGTTCTGTATTTTCCATACTCGACAATTTAGTCCAATCATTGTATCCTTCATAGGTCAGAAGTGGATCTGGTAATTCTCTAATATACTTTTTCAGTAAACTTGCAACAGTGTTACAAGAGTAGGTTTTCAAATTTACTACTATTCCCGAGTCTACATCCTTAACAATCTTATCAATTTCCACAGATGACCCAGGTACTCTGAAAATTCCTTCCTTATCAACAAATTTCTCCAATCTCTCAAAACAGTGATAAGCTATCAGAGGTATTCTGGTAAATTCATTTCTATCATTGTAGGTTGTTATGGCTTGGTCGTGTTTTTCAATGATGGTTGTTTTTCTTCTGAGTTTTTTCGGTTTGTCTTTCGAGTCGTGTGTTGAAGGTCGTTCATCTTCCATCTCGAGACATTCCCTTCTCACAACCAGTTCCAGGGATACTTTAAATATGCTCAAATCTAGTGTCAAATCATGATCCTTTTCCCTTGTTAATAAATCCTGTTTATCGGATGACTTTTTAGAAGATGGCTGCTTGGCAAATAAATTCCTAAAGAATGATATCATTGTTGCTATTGCTATTGTTGTTGTTAAATATATTTGGAAATATTTATGCTGTTGTTGTTGATGATATTGTGGTGGTGTGAAATGGTAGTGTACAATAAAAATCCACACAAGTATCAAATCTAAGAGTGTAAGAGTGTGTATCAAGAGCACGACGTTAAGACACAGAGAAGGTTGTGTGAGAATTTTTTCCTTTGTGTATATTGAGGTGATAAAATTCGGGGTCGTGCAAAATAGTGTGATGGATTGGGAAAGAAACAATTATGGACAGTGAATGCATTTGTTGTGGTTCAAGCCGGCTGGCTTGATGGTATTCTATCTTTTCTGTTGCAGTTCGATAAATTTTCGAAGACCTTTAAAGTTGGGAAGTGGCTGAAGTTGGTTGAGGTTTAGCGACCTTAGAATGGAATTGACTTCTGAGAAGTGTACATTTGGAGGGTTGAGTTGAGGTTGGTGATCGAATATGAATGGTTCAATAGTGAGATTTTCACCAAGGTTCAAGTGCAATAAGCATTCATCATTAGGTGTTGATAGAACCTCAATGAAAGGGAAGATTGAAGAGTGCATAATTCTCTGATGAAGAGAAATCGAAAAAAGGAAAATTCCATTCATGGTGAAGTAAACCTCACCTTGCTCTGTCAAACCACATCCAATTGTATCTCCACAATGTGCAATTATTTCCAATTCCTTATAAAGTATTTCCTTTTTATCGGCAGACATTATACAGCCGAATCCTTCCTGTGCCTGAAATGCATATTTTCTATCAACACAATTATTCTCACTAATGTTTGATCTGGCCATCAGTCCAATAGAAACCTTGGAGGATATCAATCGATGGATTTGAACTTCATAGTAGAATACAGTTTTCATGGAGGGTTTTCTAATGTTGGCAGATGGATTACCAAATCGCCTAGTTTCTGCAATTTCTGGTTGGAAAAAGAAGAGAGAATCTTTGGTGGTTAGTGACATTTTGGTAGCTCTAGAAGAAACAAAGTGTAGAGTTCGTTCATTATCCAATACCTTGAGTGGTGATCCTTGAAGATTTACAAGGTGTGAAAAATCTGCTTTGGTTTCAATAGGTACTGGACTATAGTTTCCAAGGTAGTGGTTGATGAGCTCTTTTTCATTTCCAAGAGTACTGTTTGGATGGTTATCAAAGTGGAAAACCTTGATATCGTTAGGATTCAAATTGTTACAGAGTAAATGATAAATCAATGTTTGTCTATCAACGTAGGAGTAATTTTTCAAAAGGCCGAAAGTTAACAGACCACTACCGGTTGGAATGAGATAGTACATGCTATTTGGAAGTCCACATACATTATTATCTCCAACTATTGCCCCGAATTTCGTATTTCCAATTGTATGGTAGGTTGTAAACTTTTCAAGACTGAAGAAATCATAGAGGAAATTATTCATTACTCCTAGTACTCTATCTGCAGCACTCTCATCACCAGTGTCAAGAGCCAAGTTCAGTATCTTGGCAAGTTTTTGCCACACTGGTTTGATGATTGCTCTTCTGTGATGGAAAGGAATCTCATTGAAAACCTCGACTAGTATTGGCTCGATATTGTAATTTGGAGAAAGTAGAGTGGCATAGCCTGGTTCAATGAGTGAAATGTATGTATAGATTCCTCTCAATAATTGAGTCTTTTTCTCTGAAAGTGGATCTGAAGATCTGCCAATTTTGCTTTGATTTCTTTCGAGCCACAAACAATAACCAACACGAGTTGACTTGTCATATTTGCAAAGGAAGAAGATTATTTTCAAGCAGGAAAGGGTGAAGAAAAATTCTGGACTATGGAAAACCTTGGCATGGATAAAATTCAAAATACAAGTTGTGGAATATCTTCCCAATTCGTCAACAAGTAAGGAGGAGGTTTCATTTCTCATTTCTCTGATTATTCTCTTAATGTGTCTCTTATCTGTTTGATTGTCATAGTATGTGAGTACTTGAGAAATTATACTCAGTGTGCTCTTGAAAATCTCATCATACATCTCATTCAACTCTACACTTGACTCTGTGTGAGCTCGATCTGAGAATAATTTTCTGGAAATGTAGAACATCAAAACGGGGAGGACTCTATACTCTGACATTAATTCGCAACATTTCTGCCGTAATTTTTCATTGGAGAGCAAGTCTTTCATGCCAAGAATGGATTTCTTAACAAAAAGACTGCTTGTGTCAAGTCCACTCAAAAATCCTAACAAGGATTCCGGCTTACTGAGAATATTCAACAATTGAGATGAGTCATTCTCAAAGATGAATCTCCATGTTTGTATGACTGGGTGTTCTAATAGTTCAGCTGCACTTTTTCTTTCCTCCCTAGCACACACCATCATTTTCACAATTCTTTTTGATCCAATGTCAAATACATGTTCATGAATAAACTCAAAGTAGTGATTCGAACGCATAAATAACCAAAAGTCAATATTATACCGTCTTGCTCTTTGATCGATTAATTGTTGGAAATCCTTCACAGTTAAAGTAGCCGAAACTTGCATAAAGATAATTCCTAGACTGTAAACATCAACTTTGTAATCATATTCAGCTCCAGGTTTAACCTCAGGAGCAACATAGGCCCGAGTACCACAAATAGTTGATGTAGAGTTTTGATGAACAAGTTGCTTAGCAAGACCAAAATCAATAATTTTCAAAGTAATCTTTCTAATTTCTTCCTCAAAATTATTCTTTAAATTATCAGAATCATATTGCACAATAATGTTTTGCGGTTTCAAATCTCTGTGAATAACCTTATTTTGATGGAGATAATTCATGACTTCGAGTAATTTGATGAACCATGAGAATCTGACATCCATGGTCAAAGTTTTGAGACCCTTACTTTCCTTTGTAATTTCATTCAAATCAGAAATAAACTGATCCAATATTTTACCACTACAATATTCCATAAGAATGCAGTAGTATCTCTTGTTAATGTCCATGAATGAGTCATAATATTTCACAATATTTGGATGATCCAGCATCATCATTAATTTCACTTCCTTTTCCTGATAGTCATTGATTGTGATTCTTTTTAGAGCAAAAATTCTATTGGTTCCAACTTGGACAACTCTGAATACAGTTCCATAAGATCCTTCTCCTAACTGCTCAAGTAGTTGGAAGGATTTTGTTTTCTTG